TCCAGTGGGCAGGAGCCATTAGGCATGCCAGAGACAGCCACTGATCCGGATTCATCTAGGGAAATTTACCAAGTTGTCGATTGAGTACCACTGCTCAGTCTGATCAGAAATCCGATTACTTGTCGTAAACACCCTCTATTCATCTCTATTCTTCATGGTATCAAGTAAAACGCCGGCGTGGCCGCTCTCAGGTTTCTCTCTGGTCATAGGATCATACTGTGCTCCAGAAATGGCGTCGAATAGACGAGGTATCCAATTGAAACGAAAAATAGTTGATACCGGGAGTGACTCGGATAATGAAACAGAAAGTGAGTGTGTGCAGTTTTGAATATCATTCATCATTTAAATCTGATGATTGGTGAAGTTTTAGATGTATATTGCGGCTTTAATAATATACAAAAAGGTGTTTACACGCAGTTTGAGGTTAAATGACGTTTACCATGATTTTCTTTGCCTTTACGAGAACTTTTATAATAGTATATTTCATATTTCACGGTCGTCGATATATAATTGAAACAAAGAGAAAGTAAATCAACCGATAGTGTCTCACATTTACTCTTTTACATACACAGATCAAAGTATAACCTAGTATGTCACAGGTGTATTTTTTTCTATTGCAGAGAATGCAAAGCAGATGAAAACGAGATCAGAGGCGCCGCGACTGTGTCCGTACTTGGACACGATTAATCGACAGTTTTTGGATTTTGATTTTGAAAAATTGTGTTCTGTATCATTGTCCAGGATCAATGTATACGCTTGTCTGGTTTGCGGCAAATATTTTCAAGGCAGAGGAACTAATACCCATGCCTACACACACAGTGTGGCCGAGAGTCATCATGTCTTTCTTAATTTACACACGCTCAAGTTTTATTGTTTACCAGACAATTATGAGATAGTGGGTAGGTACATCTGTAATATCCTCTTGCGTCTTTGCAACTGAAGCGACTGAAATTTTACATGTTTATTAGATTCGTCTCTGGATGACATCAAATACGTGTTAAATCCAACTTTCGACAAGATGCAAATAGCCCAATTGGACAAGAGCGATAAGCAGTCTAGAGCGATCGACGGCTCCATGTACTCGCCGGGAATAGTAGGAATGAATAACATAAAAGCAAATGATTACTGCAATGTCATTTTACAGGTAATTTATAATTAAATGAACCTTAACATCGATACTTCCGTGCATTTTGTGATATTAATATTTTACAGGCGCTTTCGCACGTTACACCTCTGAGAAACTTCTTTTTACGAGAGTCCAACTATTCCCACGTGAGGAGACCACCTGGTGACTCATCGTATCTCTTAGTACAAAGGTTCGGAGAGCTTATGCGTAAATTATGGAATCCACGTAACTTCAAGGCGCACGTGAGTCCTCATGAGATGCTGCAAGCGGTAGTTTTGTGGAGTAAAAAAAGATTTCAGTTCACGGAGCAAGGTGCGTGGCAGATTTCACAGACTTGTACTTCTCGATAGAATTCAAGTGCTGTTCTTTACCAATAAGCACCACTGTTTAGGTGATCCGGTGGATTTTTTATCATGGTTTTTAAATGCTCTCCATCTGGCATTAAATGGCACGAAGAAGCGTGATTCTAGCATAATTTATAAGACATTTTTGGGTCATATGCGGATATATACGCGGAAAATTCCACCGTTGGAATTGGAGGAGAGCCAGAGAAGCGAGTTATTAAACACGGTGGAGTATGGCGAGACTGTGACGGAAAGTCCGTTTTTATATCTCACTTGCGATCTCCCGCCGCCTCCGTTATTTAAGGATCAATTTACGGAGAATATTATTCCACAGGTCGGTACACTATGTATGAATATTGACCATGTAAATAGAATGTAGAGGAGGGATTAAAAATCGCCCTTTGTTCGCGCAGGTAAATCTATACACGCTTCTGAACAAATTCAATGCCGTCACTGAGAAAGAATATAAAACTTACAAGGAAAATTTCATGAAAAGATTTGAGATTACCGAATTGCCACCATATCTCATACTTTACATAAAAGTAAGTCTTATACATATATATGCTACAAAGGTAATTATATGTTGCATCTTTGACAATTTTTTTATTACAGAGATTTACAAAAAATACATTTTTCGTCGAAAAAAATCCAACAATCGTGAATTTTCCCGTTAAGTGAGTATATATTATATTTTCTTGCTTTGTGTAGTGTTGCATTAAAAAAAAATTTGTTACAGTTTTAATTATAAATTCTGGTTATGTTTGCAGAAATGTCGATTTTGGAGATATTTTAACACCGGAAGTAAAAGCCAAACATTCGTGCACGACGTACGATCTGGTAGCTAATATAGTACACGATGGTGAACCTGGCCAAGGAACGTATAGGGTCCATATTTTGCATAGAGCCACTGGTCAATGGTATGAATTGCAGGATTTACATGTCACGCAAATCTTGCCGCAAATGATCACTCTCACTGAAGCATACATACAGGTGAACAGACTGAAAAAGTACTTGATTTTTTGCACAATTTGCGATATTTAGGTAACCATTGTACTCTCTTTTTACAGATTTATGAATTAAGGCAAGACACGCACATGGAAAACGGAGATGATAAAAATAAGAAAATTATATAATACGCTTGAATTGAAACACGAAAATATAAAAATAAAAGTTTATACTTTACCTATACAGACTTTGCTTAGAATCCTATATAAATGAGAAAGGCTCGATCAGTGTAACTGACTGGTACTGATTGGCTTCACTATTTTCTCTACATACATACGTATGTATAGTTAGGCAGAAAAGGGCCGGTTAGAAAACGAAAACGAAGTTTTCTTTCTTCATATAACTGCAGTCATTTTCTCTGTAGATAACATTCATACATGTTCAGTCATGTATCTCTCTTTTACATATGACTCTAATTTTCTGAGTTTTCTATAATAAGCTTGCAATATTTTGCAACTTTTATTTTTCTCAGTTGTCTCCATTACTCGTCTCCATTGTATAGCCGGATCAAAATTGAAAGCAGTGAAATTGTAAACTGCAAGGTAAAAAATAATATCAAGAATTATTGCAACGTACAGTGTCATGTTTGTTTTGGTACACTGTTTTTATGTTTAAAATATCTAGAAAATAGCGTTAAAATATACCGAAGATCTTTATTTGATTACACTTTTGATTAGTACATGAACATAAATATTTATTTCAGTTTGGCAGCTGTTTTTAATTCAAACAGAAAACTTGTTTTCGTCCTTGATTAAACACAATTCAATTCGATGTACATATAACATTATTGATTTCCCGTATAAAAAAAAGAGGATATATTTTACTAGTCTGCTCTATCAATCACAAACGCTATTTTATTAAAAAGCATTTTCTTTAATGTTAAGAATTTTTTCGTTTGTAACATCAATCCAAGATGACCACAGTGAGTGAGTAGGAGCCTTAATTTTATTATAGCGAGTTATGTGTATTATAAATAGATAACCTCAAGAATCGTTATGTTAAAAACCGTTCAACTCGGAATTAAATGCAATACATGCATTTTTATTTTTTGCATTCAGGTAATCGATAAATAATCCATATCGAATTGAATTGTGTTTAATCAAGGACGAAAATAAGTTTTCCGTTTGAATTAAAAACAGCTGCTAAACTGAAATAAATAAAATAAAGACTTGGGTATATTTGAACACTATTTTGTATAAAGAATTGCATTCTCCCTTCTGTCAAGTTCAAATAAAGACGTTCGCTCAGTTCGCGCTTCGAATTGAGCGATTCCGGCCGAGCGGCGCCGAGCGGCGCCGAACGGCTCGACAGCGATACGAACTTGGCGGCAGAGCGGCGGGGAGAGGCGGAGCCGCACGGAGATGCCCGAGTGGGAGCGAGTGTCGTCGGAGCCGCGTCCGCTCTCCGCCCGGCCGCCCGACAGCCGGAGTTCGTGACGGAGCGGAGCCGCGGCCGGCCACGCGAAGCGATCGTGAGTGAACGTGAGTGTCGCGCGCGCGTCACGTACCCCGCGCTTTTCGTCCGTCGAGAGACGCGCCTCTCTCTTTCTCTCTCACGGTGCCTCACGCCTGTCCCTCCTCTCGCCGCACGTAGGATCGCGTAGGATCGCGCGGCGATACGGTTCGCGCGCGCCGTTACGAGACGTGCGTGCGCGGCGCGGTGCGGCGCGTCGCGGGTGAGTGTTGCCGCGAGTGTTGATCGCGTTTACGCATCCTCGTCGCACTCTCGTCACGTGGATTACACTGCCCGGACGGAAAGCCGCCGAGGGAGCCTCGCTCGACCACACGGTGAGTACGCATTCTATTCTCGCGCGACGGGGAGCGACGACATTTCGAACGGGCGCCCCGCGCACCGCTATCCGTCTTTTGCGATGGCGCCGTCGATCTCGTCGCGCTCGCCAAGCGAAGCACGCAGAAGCGGGCGAAACATTTCAAACTCGCTGCCCGCGGCGGCGGTGACGGCAACGGTCGCGTCCTTCGTGCTCGACCTTCCCGTTGCATTCGGCAACGGGTCGTGCGCGCCTTCTCTCTCTCCCTCTCTCTCTCTCTCTTTCTCTCTCTCGCGCGCGCTTCTTCTTCCTTTTTTTTCGGGGGAATCTCTCGGCGCGCCGCGGTTTCTCCGCGCTTTCGCGTTTCATTCCCGCGCGGCGACGAGCGAGAAGGTACTTTTATCCTAACCTACCGTCCGTCCCCTCCCGCCGCCTCGTCGCCGGCTCGCGCGACGTCGAATACCTGTTTCGCGCGATGCTCGAAAAAAACTGTTCGATCGCGTGGCCGGCGCCGTCGGTCGTCGCGCGGAGGAGCGAGATGGAACGCGCGCGCGCGCGCGCGATCAAGGGAGACGCGAGGGGGCCGCGAGGCGGTGCGTTGACTCGCGCGGAAGGATTCCGCGAGTTTCGGATTCCTAGCGTCCCGCAAACCGCCGTGCGTCGCGTAAACCCGTTTCTGCGCGCGGAATCACGAATAAATAATCCGCGCCTATATACATTGTCGCGCTTATCTCCGGGATTTCGGAGTCGCAGCATGCGGCCTCTCGGCATCCCGATTCTCGCACGTGCGTCTGCGAGAGCTCTACGATGTTGAGGGCGTGACTCGCCTATTTCGTCGGACGGGCCGATTCGTACGACACGTCGGAATTTGCTCGGGTTGGTGAGCCCAAGCTCCACGTCCTTGTGTGCGAAATAATTGTCGGCTGTCATATCGTCATCTTCGTCGCGCGTTGCCTGACGCCAAATTAGCATTCGCCGTGCACGAGACGCGCCGTTACGGAAAGAAATCTGCGATACGCGCTATATTTTGCATAGATACCGGCTTGTACTCGCGACGCGTGACCCGAGTGCCGCACGGAAAACAAGAAAAACATTCTTCTTTTGAAAATATGCTTAGTATCAACTGTGAAAATGTTGAAACGAGATTATATCGCGTTAAAGGAAGAAAAGCTTACTTGAACGGAGCAATTTTCAGGGTAACTCGTTACTTGTAACCAAGTTACAGTTACTTTTTTTTTGGTAACTCGAACTTAACTTGGTTACTTTCTCTTCATCTCTAACTGTAACTTAACTCAGTTACATTTTTCCGATAACCAGCTAATTTAATAGTTGCTTTATATGTATTTTAAACCTGCACAGATCGCATTAGGCCCTGCGTAAACGCCTTATCGACGCCCTACAATTCAAATGCAGATTTGATATTTTTATTTTCATTGCAAGAAAGTAACTGCAAAGTAACGATTCGTTACTTGTTGAGTAACTGTAATTGTAGCGCGTTATTTTCCAAAATTGTTGACTTGTAACTGCAACTAGATACTTTCATAAGGTAACCTTCCCAACCCTGGCAATTGTATATAATTCAATCAAGGAAAATGTATGCTTATTATTTAAGAATAATTGTCTCGAATGGAAAGGAAACAATATTGGGTCGAAAATAATAGAGGGAAGTCTCCCAATATGAGATAGCGGGGTTTCGGTACGTAAGATTTGATCTGAAACTTTTTTTTTCTATGCAGTTGATGCAATTCAACGGCACGATGTATCGTTGCAATCTAAAACACCATTGCAGCGCTTGGGGAGAATTGAAAAATGTCAGATATCAAACAACGTTAATTCAGACAGATCTGTGAATAAGTGACGCGGACAAACTTACGATACAATTAGGCAAAATTACAGGCTGCGTTAAGAACAGCGTACGAGCTGGCCTTGTACGATATCTCGGAAAAATGGTTTCGTAAGCCGTTTGATTAGGTTTTTCCCATTCGGCATGTAGTTTTAATACCTCTAGATGTCTTTGGCACTTGACTTTTCCGCCAGACTTTTGTTCTCATCGTGTATAAATGAATGATATTATTTAACAACGACTGAGAACTTGTACATTTAATAGCACAATTGATATTGAAAGGATACACAATTTTATATTGTGATTATAATTGCGTAACATTTGCCCGAATAATCTCTCCGCACGCTTGTGAAGGTCAATTTTCACGTGGGTGTGCTGAGCAATATTGTCTAATCACGTACATGAAGATTCATCATCGCGTGGTATTCGCAGAAATGACAGACACGTTTTAACAATGATAACATTAATCACTCCTGCAGCTCGATGGAAATCCTGATTAACGGACCGATATGCGCTGTTTAATTCCACTAATCGATTTTTTGTCGATTTTTACACTCGCGAGCGAAATTCCCGGACGTACGTCTAAAATTATTATCGAGTTATTGCGATATCTTTTATTAACGGCAAGTTTTAGTCAGCTAAAATTTCACTCAATGAACATCTTCCTTGTTGAAAGATTTAGCGTGATTTAAACGATAAGTTCAAGCCTTCTATACGAACGTTCCTACACAGAGAAAGCGATTTCTTTGAGTTGAATAAATTTTGTTGTATCTAAACAAATTTGATATTTCGAATGGGCCAAACAAATTTGTTTGAATTTGAAACAATATATATCTTCGTCTGAAATAAGATATTTGTTTGAAACAAAAGGTATATTCTCTTTGATTTAAACGATGCTATTGTTTTATTCAAACATTATCGTTTGATAGAAAATATGAGGAAAAATGTACATACATCTTTTTTCCTCTATATAATAATTTTTCCTTCATTATTAGAAGAAAGATAAACCCTGAATTAGTACACCAAATTCAGCTATAAAGAATAGACCATTAGATGATTAGACTGCGTCCGCTGATGCGATCGCTTATACATTTGGCCGCCGTGATTTTATTTACGAGTTCCGCGGCCATCTAGTGTCAGCACAGAACTTTATAGACGCCTGGCGAAATAATATAATTATTTAGTCGAAAAATGTTACTTTAAATAATAGCATTTTTTCCATCAACTAATAGAGATTGTTTGAATAAAACAACAAAATTTTTATTCAAACAAATGTTTCGTATAAGCATACGTTGTTTCAATGAAACAAATTTCAATGAAATAAACAGGAATACTAAATCCAAAGAGACTTTTTTTTCTGTGTAGAGACGTACAAATCTTTCAGAAGCCTCTGGTCGAATCCCCTTTTTATGAATTTCTTAATTTTAATACTACAGTACACGCGAATAGTTTAGAACTCAATTTATGACGTAAAAATTTTCTCGACTTCTTTTATTTCACAAAGTTGATCGAGTCGGCTCCCGAGAACCTCGGCGTTGCTTAATTCGATCGCGCAAAGTTTGCAAGGGAATCAAATTAAGAGGTGTCGGGTGTGTAGCATAGCGTAATGCGAATTTAAATGTGGTACAAAGAAGGGAAACAAGGAAGCGTGAGACTTGCTCGAGTAGATCGCAACAGCAGGTGGCCGGCTGTGCAACGTACTGCAATTGAACCTGATGGTGATGATACCTCGCGAGGCCGCGAGATACCCACCGACCAATTGGGTTATACGAGTCACGATTCCGCCGAGATCGTTACACGCGGCATGCAGATGCGTCCCGAGTGTAACGATTAACTCTAGAGCCGCTAAGATGTCCGCTTCGAAGTTGCTTACTTTTC